CAACTATCCGATAACTGCGATAGTATCAATAAGGCCTGTACTTCGTCATCAAACGTGATGTCGACTGAGATGAGTTGATCAACAATTGTGTTGAACTCACTGAGATGCATCGTGAAGGAACATCATTTTTCCATCTTGAGGTTGAATAGTGTTTTGACGAGATGCACCTTATTTGCAGCTAACGGTTGCTCGTACATCGTTACGAGTGCTTCCATAAGCCCCATCGTCGTCTTCTCCTTTAATATATTGTGTATTACAGATTTTGCGAGGGCCAATTGGACCTGTCCCAGGGCTTTTCGATCCAATATTTCCCAGTTATCGTCGGATTCCTCTTTATTCTTTCCTTTAGGTTTACCCATCAACGGACGGTAAAGGTCCTTCTGGTACAGATAGTCGTCCATCTGTGACTTCCAGTAGGCGAAGTCTGATCCGTCAAACTTTTTAATTTTAGATTTGTCTTCTTCTGCCATTTCTTACACACACAGATCCGAACAAGGGCTCTGATACCAGTCGTTAGGAAATCAGATAAGCTCTGATACCCGTTATTGGGGATTCAAACTACCAAACGTTAGTACAACTGCTCCTTAGCTATTTGACCACATGTTAAATATGAACCCTCTGCGGAACTTGCCCTACCGGATCTTGTGTTAAGCAATGAAAATAAGAAATCACATCAAATTAAAAATTAGTAAGAACAGAGAACATCGAGTTTTAACGAGGTTCGACAACTTGTCTACGTCATCGGGAGCCACACAAATAATTTCCTTCATATTAAAGAAGATTACAAAGCTTGTATAAGAGCATATCTCAACTTAAGATCTTTCAAGAGAAGAACCAACAGAGAACTCTCTGTTGTTTAAATAAGGGCTTGAGATTTCCAACTTGGAAAGTCTCCCCTCTCTCTCTCTCTCTCTCTAATAAATCACTACAGGACTTCACAAATAAATGACCGAGATTTTCATCAGCAAATCTCGTGTTCGAAGAATCGCTGGGGAGAAACACTCTCAAAGCCGTCGCCGAGTTCTGATCTCAGAATTCGCTCGAGATTCTCCTAAATTTCTCGTGCACATGATTTCCCTTAAATAGGGAAACCCTAGGGCCAAAAACAAGTGGGATCCAACTGGATCAAACCAAACGCGCATGCGAGCTTTCTCTCCGCAGCAGGCGAGGTCCTCAAAACGCTCGAGTTCGCCTGTGATTCGCCAACCGAACCTCGCCTTCACCCCAACTCCAAGCTCGCCTGTAGGTCGCCAAACCCCGCCGATAGCTTCAACCTCGCTTGTAGAGGGTCTCGACCACGCCTGCTCCATCCTCGCCCGAGTGAAGCTCGCTTGTGGGTCTTCTTCGAGCTCACCTGCAATCAGCCGCGAGCTCGCTGAGCTGGACCTCGCCGTCGATCTCGAGTTCGCCGCTGACAGGTATGGGTCTACACCCATTTTCAACACAAGACTCCTTACTCAGACGAGAATAATGGAATTGGAATTATGAAATGCACCTTCAACAACCATACTCATGAGGGTTGAACCAAATTGAATTCAAGTTGTATTCTCTGACCAAGTCATCATTAGGCCAAATGTTTATCGTCAGGTCCATTCATGACCATGGATCCAAATCCAGCACCTTTCCCACTTAATTTTGGATCGTATAGGGTTTTTAAGAGGGAAATTCTCTCCTCTCTACATATATTCTAAGTATTCTTATATAGAAAACATAGAGAATTGACAAAACATTATGGTTTGTAGACAAAGATTATAAGCTCAAGAAATATCACCTGCATTACGAGGGGAAATTTTGGTCTACTGTAGGGAGGGGGTGGTAGAACTCATCTAATATTCCAAAAGCTTTGTCATATGCATGTAGCGTTATCTTCGCAGAAGCTCTCTTTGAAGGGTCAATCTGAGTAAACCACACTCCAGACCCTCAAAAGCCTGCACGAAAACTTGAAACATGATGATATCAATACAGATCTCCGTGACATATTTAATATCAAAAAAGGAACTCATATAAGAAAGTAATGCAGGTCCTGAAGTTCAGGATATTTTCTGCAAATTTTCTGTTTTTGAGCTATAAATATGGGGTTCTCCTTAGATTTTCGGCTTCTTCCTTGGCTCTTAAATCATGCACTTTTCTAGGAATTTGGAGCTGTAGCTATTTAATTGCAATAGAATGGTCCCTCCATATGTTATCAATTATGGATTAATTGTTATGGGGTTTTAATGCCTTGAAATGGATTCACATGGTCTCGCTAAAGTTTCTTTAACAGGTAGAAGTTCAACTTTCTTGTTACTGTTGCTCTGTGATACTGATGTGCCAGTGATATTGTCATATCCTGCTCAGAAAATGATTGCTCTCCTCTCTTCGACCATTCTTCTGCAATTCATTAAGCATTATACATTCAGTAAAAGAGTTCAAATCTTTCTTACATTCAACTACATGCCTACATTTTATTGCCTTAGTCCTAAAGAAACAGTTAGGAATTTAGGAAGCTATCCTCCTATAACTAGGACATCTTATTTCTTGTCTCCAGTTGCCTTCAAAACCTAGTAAACTTAATTTGGCTTCGAGGGTTTTCTGGGGCTTAATTTGAGACTTGAATGCAATTGGTCTTTCTATTTCTTGCATAGTAGCATGTTGCAACTTTCTTATATGAATCTTCCTTTATTTTATCTTTAAAATACTACCTAAGAATTTTGACTCCTTCAATAGATGATAGCTCTAAGTAGTCGCTTCCTTGATTTGTTTCATCCTTAGCTTCTTTAGATACACCTCCTCCATTCTTAGCTTCTCAATGCCATTCCCTATGTATTCAGTATCCGCCACAAGAATATCTACTCTATAAGAGTAATTAATAGTTAAACTCCATCAAAAGAAACACTTACAAAAAACAAAGGTCATTTGTCGTACACACACTACACGCTTCGATAATTTTGGAACAGCTAAAATGGGCATTCCTCTGCCTTTAAAATTAATGAATTTTCACAAATAAGTCCTGGGTGCTCATTTGATAAATGCAGTCCTTTTCTTTTCTCCCTCAAAGCATAACTACAATGATTCTATCAGTGCCTAGGATCAGTTCATACTTGCTTTATCTTCTTTCATCAAAGCAATAACTGCTTTGTTTTGGGGGTTGCGAAATTGACAATCTTCAATCAGGATATCGAAGAAGAGGATGGAGTTATCAATAATATGGGTCAAGGAAATAACTCCCCTCCGAAGAGGTAAAAACTTCCCCAGTTAATCAATTCTAACTGGATTGTGGATAATTAGGTATTTTGTTCCTTTTTCTACATTCCCTTGAATGTATGTAATCCAGTACGCCTTTTGTGTTGATTATAGTGTCACCTCTTTAGTGCATATAGTGAAAATATGGAAAACTCTGGAAATGGAATTGCAGCTAATCTGCCAGAAAGCCGTAATCTTTTGCATGACCAAGGTTTGTATAATATTTTGTTGCATTATGAATTATATCTCTATTATCTATTTCTTGCTAAGTGACTAAATGTAATGACAGACGCAAATACAAGCAACCCCGGTAATATAAATGCTACTAACAGCTCACCTCTCCCAAATATTTTGCATGTTCAAGGTATGTATTATATCATGTTGCATTATAAATGATTTTTCCCTTAACAATTTCTTCTTAGCGATTGAATGTAATGACAGTCGCCACTGGTGAAAGCACCAGCAACGCTGTAAATGGAAATGCTTCACCTCTCTCTCACCTTTTGCATGATCAAGGTATGTGCAATACTATGTTGCATCATGAATTATTTCCTTTCTATTTCTTTCCAAGTGATGAAATGTAATGACACACACAGAAAATCAAGAAAAGAATGCCTCAAATGAGGAAGCAAATGCTGAAGGAAACCAGAACATAAGAAATCAAGAAGACAAAGAAATATCAAAGGAAGGAAAGGTTGACGAGAAAAAGATCCTTGAGGAGCAATTACCAATGCCCGAAATAGGAGATCCTGAACTGAAGACTTCAAGCGAAGAAGAAACATTACCTCAAGCACTGGAAAGCAAAGTGTCAATCGAAGAGATAAATCTAGAAATACCCCATAAAAGAGGAAGAGGGAGACCCAGGAAAATCAACTCAACAGCATTTGCTTCAGCAGAAAACACAGAAAAACAAAGAAAACGACGAAGATTGACGGAAACTAACCCAAACGAAGTTGCTTCAACTTCGGAACATGATTCTGAGCCTTGTCATAGGCGTAGTTCAACAGGTTGGACATGCAGAAACTATTGTGTTCCTGGTTATAAATTATGCGACTACCACCGGCAGATGGAAAGAGAGAGAGGGAAAAAAGCAAAGAATGCATCAAGCTGAAGCTATGTTGTTGTTCGGTCAGCATAAAGTAAGAAACAAGTTTAGTGTTATGGAAACTTATGCTTTGCTATTTCCAGAAGAACAAAGTTGGTTGGAGTTCTGTACTGCTCCAAAATTATGGTGTAGCTAGATTAGCAACTGAGCTTTTCTTCTTGTTTCATTAATAGTAAGACCATGATAATTGAACTAAGCTGCTTTGCAATTACTCACCAGATTCTTCTCTTAGGGCTAGCTGGTGCTTTGCAATTTGAGGTCCAGTTGGTGCATCCCTTGGTACTCCCATGCAATGAGACCTGATGTTCCTGCAAAAATTACCACGCATATGACGATGATGTGAAACTTGATGCTCGAGGAGTATGCATTTTTAGAGCAAAACCCAGCTCAGCAGGGCTAACAAAAGCACAGAATAAGATAATATTAAATGACTCTGAGTGAAGTTAGCTGCAACACTAAAAACAGATGCAAAGTAGCAAAACTGCATAACTGAAAGCTCTACTGATACTGAGGTCTTATGCAAATCTAACAAGGTTTTCTAATTCTGCAAAGTGCAATAACGCAAAGCCAAAAAGAAAAAAAAGAAAGAAAGAAAGAAAGAAAGAAAAGAAACAAGGAATATAGTTTGGTAATTATTAAGAGAGCAAAAACAACTGTCAGCTTAGCACACAAATGAAAAAAACCCATCTCTTGCTATTTGAAGACAATTACGATAGTATGCAAACAATGTAAGTTTTCTGTTTCTTTCATACATCAACTCCTTTCACAGGGAACACATGATAAATAATATCTAACTGTTTGATTTAAGCCTTTGAAGTGCCTCTATGTTCTCTCTCAACGTGCTGCACAAGTAAAACTGGATCTCTGAATGCTCTACTGCACTTAGGGCAAACATCAACTGTTACTTTGTGTTGTTGAACACCTTTATGGTGAGATTTCTCAACATGATGGATTAAAGCAGTGACTGAAGAGAATCTTGCTGGACATTGAGGACAACGCTCAGGACCGTCTCCACTACCCTGTGCCATTCCATCTTTTGCTTTTTGCAAAGCTTGGTTGGTAGCAATACTCAACTTTTGCATACCTGATTCAGCACTAGCCATAACACCATTTAGTAAGCTCGAACTCCACCAGGAAGATCCTCCACTTGAAGAACTTGAAGTGGGTTGTACAGTTTGACTCCTCTTCAATAGACCAACAAAGGGGAACCCAGAATCGGGTTTTTTTGGTCCAGGGCATTTATGGTCAAGCCCAAACCTATGTTTCAAGCAGTGCTCTCTGGTGCAATCCCTACACCTAATTGTGTTAGAAAAGGTTAAAAGTTCTTTGCAACCAGGAACAGGACATTGCTTTTTTTTGGTAGCTCTTTGAAAGTTTGATGGGTCACAATCGGTGTTGACATGAATATCCCATGTGATGTTTGGGTCTTGATTTGGAATAAGACGAACTCCAGTAGCACATAATGGGCAAATTAGGACCGTCACGTCATTATCATCTGCATTTGGACACTTGTGTGTATTGTAACTTCTATGTTGCAGACAAAACACCTGCAGACATAATAAAGTAAGCATAAAGGAAGTGTTTCATATAGCAAAACGCAAGCAGTAAAAGTTTCTGTGAAGAAGAAATTATAAAATAGACATGGAACATGAAGCGAAGTACATTAATAACGGCCTCCACACAGAAGTATGGTCTATTAAATGTCATGTTTTTCCTCTGACCAAGCATCCATACAGAATTTGAATCTTTCTAAGGTAATTCGATCCATGTATTAAAATGTCTATTAGCACCTTCTTTATTGACTAGTTTGGCAAACCATTTTTCGTATATATCTAGCCATGTTTAAAACAACACCATTTTCTACGTATATTAAGGTAAAGCTGCGTACACGGGTATCTGTTACACTAACATTCTGATTACAGGCTTGTTAAAGTTTTCGACCAACTTTTCTTGGAGGCAAATTTTAGGGCCTGAATCATAATTTTTATACACAACTGAATTTAAAATCCTCTAGCCCTGTTGTTACTTAGCCACCAAGTCCAGGGGGTTCTAGTATACCAGGAGAACTCAAAAAATCTTAGATAGCATCACATATTTTTCCTTTCCTTTTTTGTTATATTTAGAGTTAGAATTACGGTTTGGTTTGATTTAGATCCCAATTATAATCCCTTTCGCTTTCGTTTCTCAATTCTATTTTCAAAATTTACTATCCATTGTAAATTGCAGATAACCCCCCTCATTTATATTTCTACAAGACTTGGCACTGCAACATTGTTATAACAATCATACCACAACATTTTAGTTTTGATTCTTGTATGTTGTTTTCACTAGAAAAGGTATACTATCTTCATGTACATATTATTAAAACACCTTATTAACTTGGAAATAGTGGCATTCAATAAATAATTAATAATAAAAGTTCAAAAGTCAACTGTCTATGAATATGCCAAGCGGCAACCAATGTATTTGTTTTAGTATATAGTACATAGAAATAGAATAGATAGATAGATGGATAATACTTTCTAGGCGTAAATTTTATTGAATAAGATGAGAATAAAGAGAAATAGAGAGGCGTGTCATGCTAAGAATTTGCATTCGGCTGTCTGCTTCTATGCAACGGCAGATGATCGAGCCAAAAAACTAAACATGCAGCACTCCTTTTGATATCATCTTCTGTCTGTCTGTTTGCAGTTCTCAAGAAAAACGTCATCGCATTCTTCCAAATGAGCCAACAAATGATAGATAACACTTATCACCCCTCACCTCATTTATTAGCATTTATAACCCTTCACTTAATTGGCAAGGGGTTATATGCAACTCATCCTTCTCTAGCCTCAGATGTAATAAGTGCTAATAAACAAGTTGAGGGGTGATAAATGCTACTAAGGTATAGTGAGAGGGGTTATCTGCAATTTACTCTATGATAAAAACACTAGAAAGAATGGAAAAACACAATGTCATTTGTCCCTTTAACCTCTCCAACATCCCATGTATTTACTATTATTTAATTTTGTCCAATGTAATGGCTATCAGTTTCATGCCATTATCCATTCGGGACAGCCAATGATGAAATACATGCTCAGTTTACTCATGTGATAACCCACCAGTGCCTTGCTTTAAAATTTCTACCTCAGCAGCAGAACAAGGTGGAACATAGTCGGAAATGAAGCGAGGAAGCAAGATGAACTGCAGTAGCAAGAACTGGCCGAGGGTTTACAAATTATAAGATAACATAATAACAAGGCAAGGACCCAAAGTTTTGTTTTCTCTAATGTTCTCTCTATTCCTATCCACTCAAATCAGTTGAGTTAAATCGATGCCATTCCAAGCACCAACTAACATTTAAAATCTCCAATAATCTCGCAATAATTCATGTTAAACTTTATGGTATTGTTCATTTCCAAATAGCAGATATTATAAAGACGATTCCTTTTACAACTTGGTTAAAATAACAAAATTTTTTAGAACCAATAGGTAAAATTCTCAACAAAACAGCTTTTTCCCCTGTTAATCTATCTTCATTTAATAAAAGGTCTAAGTTCCTAACGCCAAACTGTCACGAATTTTCAATCCCTAATCAAACTTTAACAACAAATGATCAAATTGTACAATAATGATATCAAAAAGGACGGAAACGATCAAAATAAATTGAGGAAAAAAAAGTACCTTTTTGCACCGATCGCAATCAAACGGCAAGAAATCAATGAGCTTGCAGTCGTCGACGCTGCAATGCTTCCCTAAATCGGGGAATTCCGGCGTTCCCATCGATAATCGAGGAGTGAATCAATTGCAGATTATTACAAATTAAGAGAGAGAGAGAGAGAGAGAGAGAGAGGGAGAGAGGGAGAGAGAGAGAGAGAACAGACGGAGATTTAGGGTTCAAATCCCCGTCCCCTTCTCCCTCTTTTTATTTATTTTTGTAATTCGAAATCCCAAGAAAAGGTCGGAGCTTGGGACAGAAAAGAGAGAAACCGCGTCAGTAACAACCCAATAAATAAATTGAAGAAGAAGAACAGGGAAACTTCTACGGTTCGGTTGAGCTTTCCTCTCTTTTTTTTCTTTGTGGGTCCCATCCATTTGGAGAGGGTTGTGGGGTGTTGTACCTTGGTTTTGTGCGGCTGCTGGTGTAGGGGATTTTATAGGAGGAGGGATTTAGTGGGATGCCGTCCCGTTTACGGGGAAAAGAAATTGACTTGAATCTTGACCGGGGAATTTTTGTTCTACTACTATTTTTTCTTACTTGGCTAATTGGCTTGAAAGTATCGCCATGTCCTTTGTCATCAACTATGAAGCACGGACACGCATAACATGAAGTCGTGTCGTGTTGTGTCCGTGTCAGACACACGTGTCGAACACACGTATCCTATGTATTTTTTAGAATTTACCTCGTGTCGGCATGTCGGATGGCCGTGTCGGATCCGTGCCCGTGCTACATAGGTCATCAACGAGCAAGTTCGGCAAATTTTCAACAGGCTTTAATGGCAGCCATTATCAATTTGCTAAATTGTGCATCATATACGAAAACTAGCAGAACCGGAATGATTCCTATTGTTTGTTGTGACCAAATCAAGAACGACCGGAGACCTTTTATTTGTTTTAATAGAACAAAACCAGCCTCAATAATTTTATGTAATAATGCGTACGCTTGCGTTGCTTGTTTTTTTTTGTTGTAGGATTAGGTGCTGTTTGTTTCACCCAATTTATAGAAAAGGCTTAGTATTTGGGGTTTGACAGTGGCAAAAATATAAATTTTGAATTCTTTGTGGATCCTATTCTAGAGTTTGGCTCAGAAAAAATTTATGGATTACAAAATTCATAAAGTAGCAACAGTAAGGGTTTTTTATAGAAACCTAAATCAGAGCCGAAAGTGCGGATTTGGGCGAGATTTCTGACAGCGGGCTTCATCTTCGTTTCCGATTCCTAATCCTCACGACCACGAGCCCTAGATCTAGAATCGCTGTTCTGCTCCCGTCTCATCGCTCTCTTCTTCGCGCCTCTTCTCCAGCCTCATCGCTCTCTTCTTCGCGCCTCTTCTCCCGCCCTTCGTCTTCTTCTACTTGCGTGGTCGGGGTTGTTACTCGAAACCCTAGATCTGGTTGAGGCATGATTTCTTGGCCGATTTTGTGTGTAATCGGCTTCTCCCTATCTGATCCCGCCTCATTTTGAGCCGTGATTTCTTTGATTTGTTTTCCACGAGCTTGTTGATGGGTTTCTTACCTTTGATTCTTGGTGATCCCTTCTCGAACTTGTTCTGGTTCGGGTGGGATTGTTGGCTACGGTGGGTTCTTTGGCTTCTGTGGCTTTGTTGCTTGGACGTCGACATTTTTTTCCCTCTGCAGCTAGGTATAAGATTTTGCACTCATTTTTAGACTTATTTCTTCGTGCTTGATGTGATGAAAGGAATCTGTAGAATGATAATTTTCTTGATAATTCGTTACATGTATAATTACCAAAAAATAGGGTTATGTTTACTAACTTTTAGTTAATTGTTTTAAATAGAATGCATGATATTTGTGTGAATGAGTTGTTTTTTATATATGTGTTTACCAAAGAATGTGAATGCATGAAAAAGAATAGGGTTAAGTTCATTACATGAAAGGAACCGGGTAGTAGAATGTGTTGTTCTTGATAATTGTGTGAGATAGAATGCAACATTAGTTAAAATAATTTTCATTACAATTAGTTTCTTTCTTTTGAAGAAATAAATATTTGTATCAATTATCTAATTAATTTTGACAAGAAATAAGTAGACATCTTAAGCTGTAAATGTATGCTAATTTTAAAACGGATGTAGATGGATATGGAAGATGAAGAAGAATTGAAGAGGATGTGTGCTAATACAGCTGTTTCTGCCGTGGTCACTTTGGTAACATGTATTTTGAGAATGTGTGCTAAGCGCAAGACAATTTCACCTTGTCCGAAGCAAGAAAATATTAGAAAAATATATTGTAGAGAGGCTCACTTCAAACATGTATTGGAGGGCTATAGTGATAGCTGTCGTTCTTATATTAGAATGAGACCGATGGCCTTTTTTAAACTTGTTGAAGTAATGAAAGCAAACGATTTATTAAAGGATACAATACACGTTCAAGTTGAAGAACAGCTTGTTATGTTCCTAAGTATTATGGGTCATAAAACTAAAAATAGAGTAATACGAACTGAGTTCATACGATCAGGGGAAACAGTTAGCAGGTATTTCAATAAAGTCCTGCAAGCAATGAATGGGTTAATGATCGGTACATGAAGCAAGCCTCAAAAGAAGTTCCCGTGGAGATTGCAAACAACTCAAATTGTTTTCCTTATTTTAAGGTAAATTAAATACATACTTCTTAACAATTTTTCAAATAAATAACTTTTTATTGAACTGTGTGTAATTTATAATTTTTTATAGGACTGCATTGGTTTGATAGATGGCACACACGTCGACGCGGTGTTACCTAGTGACCTAGTTACACGATTTAGATGGCGAAAAGGGGTGACCCAAAACATCTTAGCAGCATGCACCCCCAATAAACTATTTACTTATGTCTTGGCTGGCTGGGAGGGAGCAGCAAATGATTATAGGATATTACAAGACGCTCTGTCGAGAGCACAGCGTTACGGGCTCCGGGTTTATGATGGTATTCATTCTCACTTATACATATTTTGAATAATATATTAAATACTTGGCAATAATTGAGATTATAAAAAACTGTTCAATTAATGTAGGTAAGTATTACCTATATGACGCTGGATACACCACAATGTCAGGCTTCATATCCCCATACTGCAGTGTACAATATCATTTAAAAGAGCACACCGGTAGGACACCAAAGAATAGGAAAGAGTTGTTCAATTTAAGGCATTCATCCTTAAGATCAAAAATTGAATGCACACTTGGCATATTGAAGAATCGGTTTAAAATTCTATCGGCGAAGCCGAATTATCCATTTTCTACTCAAGTGGACATTGTACTAGCGTGTACTGTGTTACACAATTTTATTGCCTTAGAGGATCCGGATGATGACATTTTAAATAAAAATATTGACATTGATGAATATACCGGGGAAGAGACAAATGAAGACGATTCAAGTGTAGTGGATTATACTCAAAGTAGGACACAAAGAGAGGATCGAGATGCAAGAAATGAATGGAAGGAGATACGAGATCAAATTGCTTGGGCGATGTGGGTGGATTATTGTGCAAAGTATAATGTTGGTAATACAATGGAGAGCAGTTTAACTTAGTGTCTTATTTAAGACTATGACTATGTAATAACTTGGTAAATTTTAAGATACTGTTCGATGCGATATTGTGTAATGTTTCTTGGCTTGTACCAAAACATATCTACTTTTAACGCTTGCTTTTTTTAGTGTTGTTTGAGAAATATCGTCGTTTCATATATTCATTGGTAAATGCATGCATATCATATATTTTTTCATATTTCTTTAATATTAATATGGCTATGCTTACAATATATATTAGGTATGGCTAACAATCCGGCAGATAAGCAAAGTGTGCATTCTCATTCGAATGCAAGGCCAAATCCTACATCAGGGATTAACATGAACTTCATGCCTGTTCATCCACAACCATTCACTTCACCACCTCATACATTCTCACCATTCCCACCATACGATGGTAATTATGGTGGGATGACACAGCTGCTAATGTCATACATGAGCTTGTTAAGCAGTCCACAAGGTTTGCTATTTCTCACAGCCAGTTCTCAAAGTAGTGGACCTAATCAATATTCACCAAACACTTGTGATTCAGTTAGAAAGGATATTCATGACGTTGATGATGTGGAGCACACTTCACCAATGAAAAGAGGGAAAAAGTAGCTCATAAGAAAATAGTTCCAGGTGCCAGGTTGAACTCAAGAGGCGTGGCTAATAAGTTTTGGCTTCTAGAGCACGATGATGTGCTTATTCCTTATCTTGCAGATTTAGCATTGGAAGGCCTGAAGCCAGACAAGAACTTCAAGGCTGGAGCTTATAAAATGGCTGCCATGAAAATCAACATGCAATTCAGGACTAATTTCACTCACCTACATGTCATTAACCACTTGAAATGCTTGAGGAACAAATTCAACGACATGAAGGCTTGCCTTGGTATAAGTGGTGCTAGGTGGAATGAAACAAGTAATATGATTACATTGGATGATGAAACCTTGAAATCTTGGGCTCAGGTATAACCAATTCAGCATCTACATTGTAGTCAAAATTTAGTACAATTCTGATTCGCCACTTATAAGTATTTGTTATTGCAGGACAAGTCCAATTCCAAGTACAAAGCGTACATAAACAAACCCCCTCCTCTCTTCAAAAATTTACAAGTTATCATGGGTGATGATCAAGCCAAGGGTGAATTTGTTAGGCCCGTTACACAAACATTGGGTCTAGTAGGTCCATACCTAATCCCGATGATGATTGCGAGATTCCAGAGGGGAGTAGAACTGAATCACATTCTGATGCTTGTAACCAACCACAATCTGGTGATGTTAACCAACCACGACCCACTAGATTTAAGACTAAGAGTAAAGACAACACGACTTCATCATCTAACAAGAAAATTAGAAAATCTAATCGTGAAGAGGAAATGCTATGTGCCTTTTGTTTACGTCAAAAGTTGGTCTCGTCGTGGAATTCATTATATCTTCAATCGATTACAACAAATTCAAAAGAGATAGCCTTTTTATAAGACTTCTTTTACACAACAAAAAGAAAATTATAACTTTTTAGAAACAAACGCAGGATCGTTGTTTGGATCGCTGCTTGTGTGGGATCTTTGCCTGTGCCGGGGGTGCGTTAGCCCGTGGACCACCGAATCACAGATTCTGATTGAATCGTGAAGGGGGCATAATGATTATTCCTTCGTTTATCGAAGTAGGAATTTGAAGTGAAGATCTTATCAAAGTAAGACGATCACTCTTCTTAAGATCAAGTCAAAGCTCGAATCTCAAGGAATTGCCCCGAAGCTCAAGTACTCTGCTCTGTCTGCTCCAAAATGCTCAG